CACAATAATTCATCATTTTGTTTCCATTCACGGGTCCAGACGATAATTGTTATAAGGGAAAGGAAGGCTCTAATTTCATAAGTCTGATTTCAACCCCCCCCCCCCAAAAAAATATGGAAACACAATGTTAATGTGTGTACAGAACCAGATGGCAGCAAGGCTATGACTGATAGGCAGCATATTGTAGTGACCTGCTATTCTGCACAAAGGCAAGAGCAAGATAAATGTCAATACACAATATCCTCAGGATAATGGCATGCTTTACCCAGTGATACTTGCGTGGGTTATGTACTGATGGTGGAGTTAGGAAGAACTCAATCCCTGCAGAAAACATGCTGGGCCTGTGTGATTTGGAGACAAGGGCGCACTTTCAAGAGACACAATATCCATGCAGTTTGAAGCAATTTCACCACACAGGACCCGTGTTTTCATCAGTGCTTGTCTGAAAGGACCTTTCATCATTATTTAAAAGAGATGAAGGAAGATAAAATGTGAACAAAATTGCAAGACTCAAGCAATGGCGAGCACCCCATATCAGCACCCTCCACATCCGAAGCACCGTCACACTGATTAGGCTGCTGGGTTGCATTCCGAGGGCAGGCTTCAGGTAACCTGACAATTCCCAAAGATTACTGTTGTATCAACCTGGAAAAACACAAGTGAAAAGAAGCAAATGTCAGATGCTAGGAAGGTAATCAAACCTGTGCCTGTTTACTGCAGTGTGTCAATGGCAAGATTGAAAGCCTAAACCATTCAGCCTTTGATTCCGACACAAGCTAAGACTTAACTTTTTCATACAGGATTTTCTCAGTCCAAACATTGCATACATGTAGTATCTTTGATAAGTGACAGTAGATTGCCTTTGATAAAACCTTGGCACACCAATATGTAAGATTTGCTCTAATTGTCTTAATGACTCAAAGACTGTAGCTTATGATTCACAGCATCAGGTCCTTTTATTTTCCTTTCCACAAAATAAAACTGACTGCTTAGAATGGTGTAGTATAACTAGCCTCTCCAGGTAATCCATGGAATGTTTGATTTTCCTGAAGCAAAGCCCAGGAAAACTAGACACTAGACAATTCCATGGATCACCAAGAGAGACTAGTTTATAACACCTCTCCCACAGATTCTCTTTAAATGTAATTGGTAACTGGCTTATTTAATAAAAACTACATCTATTTGAAAAAACAAGTAGTTGAAAATCAACCAACACTTTTCCAAACTACCTCTTCACAAAACAGTTGAACCAAACTCTTGCTGTGCAAGGTCTTTGGAATGCACGTAATAAGCAGTGAGCACCTCGGTATGCATTTGCACACAATGTCACTGGCAATGGGTACAGTTCTTTGGTAAATGTGGGTATAGTACCTCAGTTGAAACAGGTAGAGTTCTTTTGGACGGGAAATGCCAGATAGCAATAAAGTGAAAGCCACGTGACTGGTTCTTGGCCAATCAAGATAGAGAATCTGTGGAGGGTTTTCTCCAACCTTCTGATCGCGTCCATCATAGCAAGCATTACCACTTTTTCTCTGCTCAAGTTAGTTCAATATCTGCCCAGTGTTTGCCCAACCCACTTCAGATCAAGGATGGCACATAATCAGTACAACCTATAGAAAAAAGGGTAAAGCATATCTATCAATGGCACTACTCAGTTCAATTTACAGCTGAACTAGTTTTCAATGTCAGAAAATTCCTTGCCCTTTAAAATCGTGCATGATCACTAGTTGTTAGCACGTAAACTTGATACACTGTACACGGAATAGAGCCAAAAAGAACATGAGAGGTATACATTATCTCACAAAATTTTGAAAATTGAAATGTTTTTAGGGTGAACAAAAAATTGTCTTTGAATAGTAAATATTTTCTTTGGTACCGAAATAGTTTCAAAAGGAGTTAAGATTCAGTCACTTTGATGTTTTGTGAATTCACAATGCAAGGTACTTTGAAAAGGCTGACTTAAAAACAGACTGAAGGAAAATTCAAAAGTACATGTAGAGTCTAAAAAATTTTCAATAAATAAACAATGAAACTCATAATAAAAACAACAGATCTTCATACCAGGAGTAACAGGCAGAGGTGGTGTCTTGACAACATCCTTGAAAACTATGCATACATCCGGAACCAGCCTAATCTCCCATAATCAAAGAAGAAGTGAACAAAAACATGTAGTATTCGGGAAAAGGGATTGGTTTCCAATAAAAATTTCAGTATTCTAATTTATCCTTTGACATCCAACTGCTTCCCCTGCAGAAAGTCTGCATAATATGGAACACCACTGCTGAGCCCAAGGACTTGTCTTTTGTGTTCTGTGACATGCATAATTATGTGGACACTGTTCTTTGATTGTTACTGGATATAAATACTCAAGAAAGCCCCTCTGAGTGTGCCAAATGCACGTTCTTCACTACTGAATAAATCAAAATAACTAACTAACTAAATAGATTTCAAATATTTTTTTTATTATTTTAAAAATCTTAAGCTAAATTAATCAAAAATAGACTGTAACTGTGCTTTTTGAGAATATTTTAGATATACATGTATTTCAGGTTTTTACTGACCGAGCAGTCAAGTAATTTCTACTACTGTATTTGTACTTTTTATGAATATGTACCAATAAATTTCTATTCTATTCTATTCATACGGCAGAGAATATCCAATGTAATAGGATGGCATGCAATCCGACGGTACTGGTAGTGAATGATACCATCAGTCATTGCCACTTTGCGGGTAGGGTACATTCCTTGAAATGTGCTAAACTGTTCGAATGTCACACATGATATGGAACAACCCATAGGCATACATTTGTCGCAGTACAGGTAGTATGACCCATCAAAGAAGAAGCCTAACGGGTTAAAATCATCTGGGTGAACTGGCAGCGAGTGAAAAGCCGACTTAATGTCAGATTTAGCCATGAGGGAACCAGTGCCTAAACTAAAGACCAGCCCTATTGCGTCATCAAAACTTGAGTAATTAACAATGGTAAGAGATGGGTCAAAATGATCATTATCGGAATCGCCCAACGGACAGGAAAGATTGTGTATCAAACGAAATTCACCCGGCGTTTGCTTAGGGACTAGACCAACTGGAGAAAAGTGCAAGTCAGGCAATGGGGGGCTAGAAAAAGGACCAGCAATGCGGCCCAACAGAATCTCCCTGATAATATTATTGTGTAATAAAGCCTTGTGTTCACGGACGGACTTGAAATTGCAAGCCAAAGAGTGTGTACTCTCAGACCGGAATAGCCCAAACGAAAGACAAAAGTGAAACCATAGATCAAGGGTTGGTAGTTGATGCGTTGGCTGCCCCTCGAGCACTGCCAGTGCATAGGGAGCTACCGTGGCAATTATTGGCTGAGTGGCCAGGGGACATGCACACGGAACATTTGTGGACAAATTGACATGCGAACCGGAAACATAGACTGCAGTTGAAGTCGAAACAGATTCCACGTGCTGAGAGGATGCACGACCCAGTCGCAGAATGGCTGTTGGGAGGACTTAAGGGGGTAGGTACGAAAAAAGTTTTGTGAGGGACCACCCACAAGCGTTAACCACAATTCAGCGTCAATGCTGGCCCATGAACGAGCAGGCATTCGCGTTTGGTGACGACGGAATTGGATATCATAATCGCGCCAGCCAGACCCCGTGCGACGGAAGGCTGCAGATCGGACAATATCGGCACATTTCAGTAATTGTTGGGTGCAGTCCAGATGGCAAATCAAGTAAATGAATGCAAAAACCAAGAAAGCAGACATGGCAGAAGTACATTGCTCAGTGGACGTTATGCGAACATGCTGAGCTGGGGGGCGAATTTGCAAGGTAGGTGATTCAGGCAAACTGATCAGAAATACACAGTCGTAAGAATGAGTATTACCAAACCCAGTACGAATTGGCTGTAGCAAAGAACCAAATTCGACAAACTCCCCTTCCAAATTTTTTCTAGGATGTTTTTAGGTACCCCCAGCCCCAGCTCGTCACAAACACTGGTAAGTGCGGTGTAGTTTTGTACATTAGCCATTGAAGACTTGGCATTCACAGCCGGAAGCAAATTAGGGATGGAAGTCAAAGGCAATACAGATGAATCACCAGTTGAAATTAAATGAGGAATGGATTGGTGGTCCACAACAGGTAAGGGAAAAAGATTGCAGTGAACACCTGCCCCAAGCACAAAGACCAAAGTGGATGTGCAAACTCAAACTGGTAAAGTTAAGTTCAATTCCGATGTTGAGTTGTATTCTGATAGTATTATTCAATCTGATGTTGTGGACAGTTACTATACTACTATACATATGAAGAAAACCCAGGCATCTTTTCCAAAAGGGTTGTGAGTCGTCTTAAAAAGCATAAGGCTTTCTGGGATCTACATGTATTGCACCCACCAGGATTTGTTTCCAACATGGTGAGCAAAGATTATATATTGTTGTTGACGTGTGATCCTCCTGAAATGTTTCCACTAATAACAAATCAGTGCTACAAAACAGCAATTTTGTTTCAGAGGCAATTTCAACTTCTGAATTTAATATCAGTGGATACTGCAAAAGTGTTTCAGAGTAAGTCCAGAGTCTACCCCATCAGGAATATCTTGGTTTTGCTTGGAAAAATGGAAAATTGTTGTCTTTTTTATTGATTTAAGCAGTGGCTATGCATTTGGCCTATCAGATGCATGTATTGCAAATACATGTATTTTCATCAAAGTAATTCTTCCTCAAGTTAAGAAGTGAAGGGGCGAAGGTAAATCAATCATAGTTTTTCTTGACGATGGGCTTGGGTTTGCATCTACCGGCAAAGAGCACAAGAACACAGCAAACAGGTTCGCTCAGATATCATCCGGTTTGGATTTGTCCCAATTTTCAGAAAAGCATTTGGGATCCAATAGACAATTTGGAATGGCTTTTGACATCAATCTCAGTTTTGGTACCATCAGAATTCCCTACAGGCGAATAACTGCTATAAAACAACATATTGAAAATATCGCCATTTGAACCAAGTAATACCCTAAAGGTAAGGTCTTTACCAAGTCTAGTGGGTAAGATACATGTACAGCTTCCACTTGTCTGGTTACAGGGCAAGTGACAAAGGTCATGACCATATCATTGCATGTCTGTACAGAGACCAGGAGGATACGGGATGCACCTCTGAGCATTACACAGCGAGCCAAAGTGGAATTCCAATTCCGGTTTGACAATATACAGGTAGATAAGGTCAATGAGGCTAATATTGATATGCTTCCCGAACACTCTAGAGTAATGTATTTTGATGCAAGTAACAAGGGCTGCAATGGCTATGTGGTAGAGTTGGGTAATGATAAGGCCCAGGGATCTTGGGACAGTAGCCAGTCTAGGAAGAGTTCCACATGGAAAGAACTCAAAGCAGTTGACTCAGTTCTCAAATTGTTTGTGTGTAAACTGTCCAACCTCCAGACTACATGTAAGTGGTTTATAGATAACCAAGCAATACATCTTGAAGATAACCAAGCAGTTGTGCAAATAGCAGCGCATGGAAGTATGAACCTTAAGCATTTTCCTGACCATGTTTGGAGAATAATATTCATATACAGTACGTTGCATTTGAAAGTTAACGCTGCGAAAAGGAATGAGAAAAAAAAGAAAGGAATTCACATTCGCATTCGCATTCCGCATTTTGACTACAACTTTTCCCCCCTGCGAATTTGCAGCAAATTCACAGCGAATCGGATGCAAAAGGATCGAACGACGTGCGAAAACAGTGCAAAAATGGTGCAAATCTTTTGTGAACACGGCGTGAAACATTTGAGAAAACATTGAGAAAAACACAGTGTGCGAAAACAGTGTGAAAATTTTGCGAAAGCGGTGCGAAAGGTTCTAAAAATCATGCAGAAACTTGCGAAAACGAGAAGCATTGTGCAGCAAAATGCTCAACGCTTGCCACACGTGCACGACTATTATGCAGTGAAGAGTCCATTACGCAGGCTGCGCTGCGCTTGGGGCTGGCCGGTCGGCCCAACTCACCACATGGAGTGTGCTGTTGTAGTCTTGTAGCAATTTCCTCGGCCGAGCCGTCCGGTCCATGGTATTAATTTCAAAATCTGTTATTTTTATGCAGGCTACAGATGGCAACTGGACACATCAATTTCACACCAAGAAATAGACTGACATGTCATGATAAAAAGTCACTTTTTGAGAAAGTTTGCTGGAAATGAAGGGACAGGCTCTCTGACCTGCAGTTTACACACATGTACCTGTAGATGTTTCAGTTGTCAGACAAATTTCATTACCAGAGATCATCTGCATGTTTTCTTTAAACACTTGAGAAGCACTGGCCTTCACAATGCAACATACCAGAACAAAAAGCATTGTCCAAGCAGTGTCTGTTCCCTGCCTAGATATATTACTGGTACGTTACTATTGTAAGCAGGTCAGAACTGAATCTGAATCAGGAGGGTCACTGAGCTTGCCAGAGTTTGTTTGCCGGCAAACCACTACTTTTGCAAGAAAGTGAAATCCATGAATGCTACAAAGCAGGATTGGCTACTTATTTGATTCAAATAATAATAATAATTTTAAACATCAATTTTTTTTACTTAAATCAAATTTTCATTTTCTTTTACTTACAAATTTTGGGTATGCCTCATCAACATTTTCAGAAATACTCCCACACACCCTTAAATACCGTACCCATCAACAAGGAGCTTTCAGGTTTATATACCAATTACCTGATAAAAATAACTCAGTATTTAGAAATTTCCAGAAAACAATTCTCCAAAATTAGTAATGATATGCACCTTTGACAAAAAAAACACTGCTGCATATGATATCACCCTGAAGGAAATGGCCGTTATGACTTACATGTAGTACAAGTCATAGCATGGAAAACTCCCCAGCACCAATTACAAATTTTCTGGGAATCCCAGGATCAGCAATGACAGTACCCGGTGTCTTAGTACACTACTTTTGAAGACAACCTGGGAGATAACGTGTGGTCTCATCACGATCAGAAATGCTCACTGGATGCTTGAGAGTGCGTGGAAAATGTTAAATCTGTCACCAAGTGAGAACCCTTCCTGTACTTTGTGATCCTTTTGGCAAGATACTGTATCTGAAAATCAGGACGTATTCATAATATCAATATTCCCAATTTCTAGGCCCATTTAGGACTAAATTTAGCTCAAAATGGAAGATGAAATGAAATCAGACACCTGATGGGACCAGCTGATATCCCATAATGACCCTCTGAATAATAATGATCAACACTAGACAGATTAATCAGTCAAGCTCAGAAAAAATCACAACCTCAGACTAAAAACCATAAATGACCAAAACATGTCATACAGTGATGTCTACATAGACTCAGACCTCCACAAAACTCCCAACAGGAGCATGAGGTGAAACCAAAGCCTGAGTATCAATCAACATAACAAAATGCTACAATCTGCTGTCACAAATTTGAAAGGTGGACAGATGACGTCCCATGCAGCCATGGCTGTAGCGTTGCTAGAAAGTCCCGCTGAAGAGGAAGATCGTAGGAAGTTGAACATTGTTCAAGGAAGCAAAGAGAATGATGTAAGACTGCTCTATCATCCCAGGGAGAGTGTGTCCGTCCCTCTCTAATAAAACGTGTCTGCGGAGAATAATGCATTTTATCTTGTAGAGATAAAATAGGTTATTCTCCCGACAACACATTGACAACGCATAACCACTAGAGTTTTTTGGTTTCTTGGGCATAGTTTTTCGAGCCACCAATTTATTTCTTTTCCTTTAAATTTAAAGCACACAAGTTTAGCACCTTTGCATATAGAATAGGGGGCACACTTGCACCAACAACTGGCCACGCTTGGCATCCTTGGCACACTTGTCATATAACAAGGGCAAACTTGCCCAAAACTTGCCACGCTTGGCATCCTCGGCACGCTTGCCACTTATCCACTGTGTGTATCCACCGTTCGCAGTTACGGTTGGAAACTAGCCCCACCTGAACTAGTAGGTGCTAGCCACAGTGTTTCAATCTGTCACTTGACTTAAACTACTATGCAGATTACCTAAGAGTAAACTTGAAGAAAAATGCCATGTTTTTCCACCGTTTGCACATGAGGTTGGAATAAGCCTCACCAGAATAAGAGGGTGTTCGGTGTGTATCCCTTAACATTAACACAATAATGATTAACATGCTCAAATTTGTGATTTGCTGATTTGTGTTTGAGTACAGGAATGATTCCTGACCGACCTCAACAAGAAAAGTCAACCAAAAGGCAACTCATGTAAGCTATGAAATCTCAAGCAACAAGGTAGGTAAACGAATTAGCATACATGTACATGTACATGTATATCCATGGAGAAAACTGGATTTGAGTATGAAAAGGCTGATTTATTACTGACAAAAACCCAAAAATATTCATGCTTGTGTCTTTACAATCATCAAATACATTTTATTCTGATAACATGTACGGTACTTATTTTCCACTTTTTCAATTGCAGGCTCACTGGTGCAAGACAAGGATTTACTAACAGCTGCACTGTTAACAATTTTGTTCTCTGTAAATGTATCATGAAATAACTGAGAACTTGTTACAGACTTACTTTATGACCGTACTGTGAGCTTTATAGATGTACATTTTTCCTCTGTAACATGAATAAACATATGAAATTTCCATATTCACCTCACTGCACAAAGCCAGTCCCGTGAAGCTGGAAATGTACAGAATTTCTAACACCTAACATCAATTCCTTAAACCTCATCTAAACCGGCATTGCTAAATGTTACTTGTGACTATCGATGGGCCTTTCGCCGATGGTCATCCACATCCTTCTTACTTGTAACTTAGACGTATCGGCAACCCTTGACCATGCAGCTGCCCAATGACTTCTGCTGGTACAGTGGCAGGTGTTGGCAAGGGGGATCCCTATGGCACTGGAGGGCCTCAATGAAATTCCATGGCGGTGTTGAAGACTTCCTAATTCTTCTACCATTTTTCTTCTGCAGGATTCATTATAAAACTAAAATACTTTTCATTGATGAGCTGTAATGAAAATCCTACCATGCCTACACTGCCCATGAATGGAAATAAACTTACCAATTCTTGGATGCACACATTGTAACTCTTCTCTTAATCAATTAGTGATGTCGTCTTGAAAGGTTGATGGCAAAGAGATGAATAAGTAGGAACAGGCCGGATGTTAACTTGTTAACAGCTGTCTAGGTAGAAAATGGCAAATTACAGTGGATTCAATTATTTACTGAACAAAAAAATGATTTACCAAGATTTTGTAATCAAAAAGGCTAATCAATAAAGACCACTGGTTGTAACAGAATTCTCAAAACCAAATAGTAGGCAACCAAGTCAAGACTCAACCCCAAAAGACCGCAGGAATCATAGAATGTATAGTAAAGATACAGTGTACCAATTTGAAGGTTCTGCACTTCCTAAGGGCCACAAGTTGTACATCTTCTTGGGGAGGTACATGTACATGTACATGTACATGTACGGTACCGTATTTTAGGTTATTTATGGGTGGACAAAGCTCACAGCAGAATTACAGTTTTTCCAGGGTTCATAACTAAAGTTTTCCACACAAAAATAGAGTCAATTAAAGTGCAACACTCCTATTTGTTATATTTTCTAATCATTTTTTAACAATGCGACAAAAGTCACGTAGGCCACAGGGCTACAGGTACATGTACTCTTCTGGTGGTCCGGGATATTGATACAATATCTTGGTAAAGAAGAAGCAGTTTCGAAGGAATCCAACCCTCCTCATGGTAATTCTAAGAAACAGCCCACCCATCCACATGTGAGAACATGTCCCTCTGTGCTGAAAGACCTAGCCAAGAAAGCAGTTACACAGAATCCTCACAAGTTGTACAGGGATTTAACATCCAGAAATGTGCCCTCTCTCACATGCCAGTGCAGCACCCAAAGGATACTGCAAAAAATACAACGTGTACGAACTTAACTTGGTGATTTCATACACCAGTTTCATACACCAGTTTCTTCCTGAATTGGTTCTTTGCATTGGTTTGCAAGAACTTCTCAATGAACTTAATAGATTAAGCACATGTGAGGATACTGTGACCTGACAGAGGGCGCTAGTCACTAGGCACGGTGCAAAGGTATAGATGGCGCTCTGCCCAAAGAGGCAGATGTTAGGTGCACATAGCTGTGTGTTAAACAAGCGTGGTGCTTAGGCTCCGCTTTGTGCGTTGTGCGATAGGGCGGCGGAAGTCACTGCTTGGTCACATGAGCGCGTGCGCAGGCGAGGTCACAGCAGCATGAAGGCTATAAAAACCGCACGCAGGCAAGGTTTAGTCGTCCTGATCAAGGGCTGATCCTGAGGTAAGGGTCGAGAATCCTGTGTAAGGGTTAAAGTCACCTTGCCTAGTGAGACTGTGCCTAAGTCCCGACTGGTGCGTGTGTCGTTGAGGGGCTCGGTAGGTTGAGGGGCTAATTGGTGGTGTGGTATAGTTCCTCATAGGAGCTTGCGATCGATGCAAGGGCGGATTGCTATCTCGTGACGTGAGTTGAGTGTAGCGCAGCCCTGACAATAAGCCCCGTAGACTTGCTAAAGTCCCCGATTCGGCACTGGATGCCCACAATTAATTGTGGTGTTCGCTGCTATGGGCGAAGTCCGGTCACATATAATCACACAGTCTCCCCATCAATAGTGCCCTCTACTGGTGTATTGGTTGAGTGTGTTGATGAATAAACCAGCCGCTTATTAACTGTTGTATATAAGTCAGGTGTCCAGGCGAAGTTTATTTCAAGTCAGGTCTGTCCGGGTTACGTCATTAAGTTTCGACCAATCAGATTAGCCATCAAGACCAACTTTCTTGGAGGACGGTATACATTGGTCCCAACGGACTCGTCCCTAGCCGCTCATGGATGCCAAACTGACTCAAGCACGAAATCCCACAAACAGCAGCAGCTTCAAGAGCCAGCTAAGTCTGGCAAAGATGGTCATCCAAACCAAAAAGGATCATGTGTGTTGCTGAGCAGAAAGGTTTTCTAGTGCAGGGGAGCAAAGGGAAATTTCTATTCTGTGACGCTTTTCCCCAAAAAATCATGCCCTTGCCTCTAAAAGGGTGCTGTACCTGTTACCATATAATCACGTGCCGCCTACCAGTAGCTGTCAGATTGGCTCCTGGGGGAACCGATACAAGAAATATCAATGTACATGTAATTACATGTACATGTAAATTCCACCGACTTGGCTTCGCTGTTGCCCTTAGGCTGGTTATCAGAAGCCATTATTTTCAAGTTGACATTTATAGACAAGTGTAACCTTCAGCAACAGTCTCCTGACAGCTCTGTCACATTCCTTCTTGCAGATTCCCATGCATTTCTTACATGGGAAGAGGGTAAAGTAGAATTTGTCATAAAGTGGGCCCTTGCTCATTGCATCTTTAAGAAAGATGTCTGGCTTTGGCCTGTGATAGTCCACGGTAACCACTGGATACTGTCGGTCGTACTAAGAAAATTACGACAGTTGGTTATCATGGCCTTCTTGCATGGAGAAAATATGCAATCTGCAGCCTCATTCATAGACATGTACAACACTCTTCTTGCTGTAAAGTATTCAAAATCCTTTCCCATGTCAGATTGGCAGGTTTTTGTGCAGACTGATGAACCCCGCCAGAAGAATGGAAACGATTGTGGTGTCTTCGTATGTGTTGCAGTGCATGCGATAGTTAGTGGCAATTACCAGAAGTATTCACAAGCCAAAATGCAAAGAGTGCAGACCTGGATCACTCAACATTTTATTCCAACAGATTTGCAGAGTTTGTACAAGAGAGTTGTTACTACATACTACTGGCGTACATATATTTCGCCAACCCCCAAATGGTGGCGACACCATGACCCACTTGGTGAATACCAGAAATAGTTTGATAGAGCCAACATGGTCCACTTGTTACATCACTGATGATTGTAACAAACCATAAGAATCCCAAAAGATGTTGTTCTGTGAGGGATGTCTCAATTGGTTCCATATTGAGTGTGTTTCAAAAGTTGGAATATGTAATCAGCTGCTGGATGCCAGTCACTGGATGTGTCTGCAATGCAGCCTCAAAGAAAAGCTGTGAGACTTGGCCTTCGAAACCTCACAGTCAAGAAAGAATTTCTGCATGTAGATCCATGGGCATGACAAGAACTTTCTCTGGGAAAATGCCCTTTTTCAAGGAAAAAGGGGGCAGCAATCACCTAGCCCCCTCTGCGATGCAAATGCCCAGACTTGATGTTTTCAATGTTGGAAGGATTTAAAGCAATTCAGTGTGGCGCATTTGCATTGACTGATCTCTGTTTTCGACCTCAATGCAGAGGCAGATTTTGTTAGTTCTTTTGTTCAAAAAAATTTATCAAAGAACTCATCGTTAAAATGCTGATGTGAAATTTGAAATGACAGGTGATTTAATTTTCATGTAAACAGATGTTAACATACCGGAAGATCCTTCAAAGATGCTTCTGTTATCTCACAGGCTAATTCCATAATCACCCCAAGTAGCATGTAAATACTAATTAATTGCCTCTGTCACCAATACAAATGATTCAACAGTGTACTTTGACACTTACGACTTACATGTATTTGTAAAATGAAATCACTATATAATTACACTTATCAAGTATAAAGTTTGCTTATTTCTCTTCACAGAAAAATTAGGATGTGTTCAGTTAAAAATTTGCCAAATGTGTATCTTGAATTGTGAACATTAGATTCATTATCATACGTCATCTTTTGGAATCATCTAATGATCAACACTGATTGACAAGGAGCTCCATAGCAAGCATTACATGTACATGTATGTTCAGTTTTATACATGTAGCTATAAGCTAAAAAAATTCACTCTGTTGTGAGCAAAAGCTCCAATGAAAGAAATAAATGAGGTTAACATCACACAAGCAGCTTTTTAGTACTTCCTGAGTATCTCATGTTTGTTGATCCCCAGTTACCACTTTACATCTCTACTGCTAAGGTACATGTAGGTCTTGTATGATGTTTTGTCTGTAAGGCAGTATTGGTAAAAAAAGCCAGTCTAAGTAATCGGAAATAAAGGAGGGCACCCTAAATATTAGACTGCTAACATTTCACATAATGGAAATGTAGTCACATACGGTAGGCCTAGGCTAGCTGTGTAACCAAGACACTAGTAAGGTTACAAATTGAAAAAAACAAAAGTTGCCATGATTTATTGGTTCGGTTTTTCTTCCAATCAATGCATTTTGTATGGGTAGTCCTTAGCTCAGCCTAAGGTTGGATGTTGTCTTCATTTACCACTTACACTACTTCCAGAACTGTAAGGTTTATACAAATCTTACAGTTCTTAAAGAGGGTATAACACCCATAACCAAGTAAAGACATTTCCTATTTTGCCGTCACACAAAACTGTCCTTTTTCAATTGAATATTGGGCAGTTTCCGGAAAAAGGTTGCAAAAAAGTCTCATGAGGGGTCAAAAATGAAACTTGTTATATCAATAAACCATGTTTGGCTAAAGTGTATGAATAAAGGTAACAGAAAATGTTAAGTTCAAGGCTTAAACCTTTTCCTGTTTTAATTTCAAGACACTTTGCACGTGTTAAGTTGTTAATAAATTCATTCGTTCATTTGGCATTTCATAAACTTTGTCAACTGAAGGTATACATCATAAACTGCTATTTCCACATTCAAGACATGTTTGGGGTTGCTTTAAATTGGTTGACAGCCACCACAATAGTCATGTCTTCAACACTAATGCAAGTTATGCTTTGAAAAGCAACAGATATTTTCTGATATTTGGGGAAAATTAAGTTTTCACTCTTTTTTTTTAAATACCACCTGTCATTTCAGCTAATTCAGAAAATCATGTTACTGCACTCAAGAGTTATGGTGGCCTCTCTTGGTGCCATGAAAACGGCTCATTTTGTATAGGAAAGGACACAATTTTAACATAATGCTACCTTCCATCAAGGTTGATCTTATAAAGCAACATTTTGAGAAATACTATCATAAAGCTACATGTAATTAGATGGACAGACAGGACCAGTATAATCACTTGAACATGTTTTGCTACAGAAGTGTAAAATAAAACTGGTAAACATGTGTGGTATGGTCCACATACATGTAATTACATGTACAGTATGTTACTACACACTATAAATCCACAAACTACAGGTACACATACAGAAATACCAAAAGCACAATAGATCGAGTAAAGTACATGTAT